AACTGTAAAGATGAAAAACCGACAAAGTGGCAAACACTGAGGATACAAAGTGACAAACTGACTAACCGACCAACATTATGCTAAAAAACGGAAAGGAACTGACAAACTATGTAACGACGACATGACTAATTGAAAAGCGACAAACTGGCAAACTATAAAGCAGCAATTAGACTTATTGACAGCCAACCAAGTAATCAGTGGTAAACTGACTAACTGACAAACTGACACGATAAACCGACAAACTATCTAAATGACATGAAAAACTGACAAACTGACTAACTGGCATTAAACACTGACAAACTGACTAATTGACAAACTGGATAATTGACAAACTGGTTAACTGACAGACATAAAAAAAGGAAAAACTAACTGGTTGAACTTTTTACTTGCCAATAAAATCTTGGTTGTCCTTTTTATATTCTATTCAAGGGGTTGGCAATAGCAAACGCGTACAGTGCAAGGCCTCCCCCTCTCTGGTTTGTTTTTTAAAACAATTACCGGTATTTTTGTTTATTTCCTTGCTTTCATCCGGTTAAATATTTAAACAATAAAACAATTATAATAATTTATGTAAATTTATATAAAATAATTACATTATAGGATATAGGGATATAAGAATATACAAGGATACAAGGATTATAGGAAGGATACAAATATACACGGAGGTGATATAAGGATACACGATCACAAAGATACAATGATAAAAGAATACACGATTACAAGGATACAAAGATACAAGGATACAAGAATACAAGGATACAAGGATACAAGGATACAAGGATTCAAGGATACAAGAATACAAGGATACAAGGATATAAGGATACAAGGATACAAGGATACAAGGATACAAGGATTCAAGGATACAAGAATACAAGGATACAAGGATACAAGGATACAAGGATACTAGGATACAAGGATACAAGAATACAAGGATACAAGGATACAAGGATACAAGGATGCAAGGATACAAGGATACTAGGATACAAGGATACAAGGATACAAGGATACAAGGAAGCAAGGATACTAGGATACAAGGATACAAGAATACAAGGATACAAGGATACAAGGATAAGGATGCAAGGATACAAGGATACTAGGATACAAGGATACAAGGATACAAGGATACAAGGAAGCAAGGATACAGAGTTACAAGGATACAAGGATAAACGGATTTCAGGATTCAAGGCTGCTGAGATATAATTTCATTCTTAATTTTTTGTCTGATAAAACCCTGTCATAAAGCTGAATTATATTTTAACTGTGTGGGTTTTACATTTTGACGTTGTTTAGCTCCTCCCTTGGTAAACTGTATACCCGGAGTAAACCGAACCCGAACACGACCCAGACTCCAGGAATACCTCCTCCCTTCATCCATATACGTCCTTCTCTAATATGCATAAACAAACCTCCCAGCATAAAAAGTTGACAATAAAGTTTAGTGTAAAACTGTTTGTGCAACTCTACATGAATGATATCACTATATATGCACTGTTCGTGTTCAATTTGCCTGAGAGAAACATTTTTTTTATTTTCGGTTCAAAAATCTAGTTCCAATCTTTCCTACTATCCATACTATCCTACTATCCTACTATCCTACTATCCTACTATCCTACTATCCTACTATCCTACTATCCTACTATCCAACTATCCCATTATCTAACTGCAGTTTATAAACCACAAGACAGTTAGTCTGTAAAGTCAAATATTGTAAAAATGAATATTGAGATAAAGTTCAGATTCCCACAAATAATATTTCCGTTTAGTTTCAAGATTTGAATATTTTGCATCTTAAACCAAAACTTCAAAATCTTTAAGCAATGTTGTATTGCTGTGGTGGCGAAGTTTAACGGGAAAAAAATACTCCAAACTGTACATTGTACAATTTACAGTGTACGGTGTACAGTGTACGGTGTACAGTGTACTGTGTACAGTGTACAGTGTACAGTGTACAGTGTACAGTGTACAGTGTACAGTGTACAGTGTACAGTGTAGAGTGTACAGTGTACACTCTACACCGTACACTGTACATTGTACATGTCGACGTATTTTCAAGAGAATCTATTTAGAGTGTCAGCCCGATTCACAATCACAACGGTACCTTTGAACATATTTTGAGTAATAATCATCGTTTGTCTTTTTATTTCAAAATAAATTCTGTCAGCCTCTTTTCTTGTTTCTGTTAAATAAATCCGCAAATTACTTCCTATTTTCATTTTTAAAACAAGGATAGATCGATACTGCATTTTTTCTCAGACAAAAGTTTAAAAGATACTGTTGTGAATCGAGTATGGATGGATATGCAACACTATAGATAAGATTATTACATTTACATTATGAACGGATTTTAGTTTTAACTATAAACCCTGCCAACCTGAACTCTCTCTCTCTCTAGAAAATATGTAAATATTGAATGAATTTCAAGATATCACTAAAATATCGCATCATGTTTTTATGTTTCCAATTGTGTATACAAATTTGACATAAACCCCACATAAAAATTAACCGACGTATTACGTGTGATCGATTTTTTAAAATTTTACCTCCTCCTATAAAAGATTTTTTCCCGAATTAGTCTCCTTTTTCTTTAAAACAGGTCAAATTTGGTATCTAGGGCAGGTAAATACTGCACATTTTGTTTTTTCTATATTTTTAAAATTATTTGATTTAGTGATGCCATAAAACTAATCAATTTTTTGTTAAATAATTGACAGATTTTTACAATTTAAAAAATTCATAATTCATTCTTTCAATATGGATCTTTTGATACCAATGTTGATCTACTTTGAAAAAAAATGTCGCTTTTGTGAATTATTAAACCTAGTAACTGGTTTTCGGTTGGCAATTTCAACTTGCGAAAAAAATTGTCTTTTCTAAATGTTGTTTTAATTTGGAAACTTATCCTATACGCATAGAGGGGAGGGCAAAGGTAAATACTGATCATCCCTAATACATATACCTAATACATAAACATATAATATAACATGTATCAAATATTTATCAATCTGTAATAGGATCTAGATAGGTCTTACTGCTTCCACCCATAATCTATCTATCTATCTATCTATCTATCTATCTATCTATCTATCTATCTATATATCTATCTATCTATCTATCTATCTATCTATCTATCTATATCTTTAAATGAAAATATTCTTGTTTAACTTTGAAATGGTTCACAATTAATAAACGTTTATACTCCGTTGTCGGAGAACAAAGAAGAAAAGCGGGCTGAAATTGTTTGGTTTGGTTTCTCGTCTCCGAGAGGAGCTTTTAAGTTGAAGACGACATTACATAGAAGGGGGGGGGGTCTTAATGTTAATGGTTGACAATATTGTATGACAATGTAACCCTGGGATGCAATATATAACATTGCATTCCTGCTTTTAGGGATGCAATGTAACAAAGTTAAAAACAAATTACATATATCTTTATTCACGTGACGCAACACGGATGCAGTAATATATAGGAGGGAATACCACACTGCCTTGGCTTGACTTGACCATGTTGGGTATATATCGTTACGCTTAAGATGCTTGGGAAGCTTCGGTCATATGTTTAGCTATTATTTCAACAAAAAGGAAGTTTAATTTATATGCCGAATTTATGGCTTTAAAGGAAAACAGTTGTGCAGAAAACATGCAATATTTTACACTAAAATTAAATTAAATTTTGTTTAATGTTTTGCATCAAATTTTACCACTCTGTTATCTCATTGTTTTGTAAAATATAAAAACACTGTTTCCAGGAATATTTGAATTTAAATTTTTAAATTCTTAAAATTTTAGATTTTTTTTTATGGAGTTTTTTTATTTCTTGAGTTGAACAAAGTTCGTTGATCTTTTGAACATATTTCTTTAATTTTCTAATCACTTGAAAAATTTTGTTTCTGTTAATTGTGATTACTTAATTCAATATTCAAAAATCAGTGTCTTGTATAATAATGCAAACATAAACCTGAACATCTGGCAAAACACTAGGATTATTCTTTATTGAACAAATATTAGTTAAAGGGACTGTAAGGCGTAAACATAATTTAAAATGCCCGATTTACAAAGGTATCCTTTAGATACCTTTGTGACTCGATTTCTGTAAAATTGTTTCTTTTAAAGGGAGTGAACGGCAATGAATGGTTATTGAACCAAGAATGTACTGTTGCACAGAATTTTTTTAGTATTCATTTGAGACATACAATACGTTTTAATGATGTATAATTAACGAGTTTAAGCGAAAAGTCGACGTTTAACATCATCCATTTGGGTGGTTACGTTTAGAGAATGGATTTTTTTAAATTATCAAATAACGCCCACGAAAATTGTATCAAACATTCTACGGTAAAATATTTAGATGTTAAAGAACATATTTCTTAATAGAGAAGTCAATAAAATCAATGTTAGAATTAATTTTTTTCTTTTTCATCATTATATTTAATTTCTCATTCTTTACGAATTTGTTCGCAGATTTCTACAAATTCTTCAAATAAATAAGATTACTTATTTTTAATTTTTATTTTCTTAACCTGTTCCTAAACAACTAATTAGTTTACTCTAGTATTGTTGATACATTTTTTGTCATCGTTATTTTATAATTTCAAAAAATAGATTCTCAAAGCGTAACCACCCAAATGGATGATTTTAAAAGTCGACTTTGCGCTAAAACTCAGTAATTATACATCATTAAAACAGTTCATATGTCATAAATGAATCCTAACAAATTTGTCCACGATACTTCATTCTCAGTTCAACTACCATAAAAACTGTTTAAATTAACAACAAATGGATATCTTATTCATACTTGAGTACACAGAGCTTTTAAAAATACCATTGAAAATCGTGCATTGTCATCTTTGCCTAGAAGCTAACTTGAAATTACGCGTGTATTCCCTTTTAACTGGCGGGCAACAGGGAGATGTTAAATTGTGTTTCAAATTTGGAAAATTGGTTTTAAAATGTTATTCTTAAATTCGGAAACAAGCCATTAAAAAAAATGGGGGAAACCTATACCTTGTGGTTGATGACACAAATTTGCGTCACCCTGCTCCTCTAGTATCACCCCCAGGCTTTCCATATTCACCATGATTTTTTGCGTAATCTTTGATTGTCGCAGATAATGTTCACTGCTTCACGTATATTCAGGAACTAACGTACGCATGCCTCCGGACGCATTGTTGGGTTTGGGCACATGTAGAGTTTGAACCTGGAAGCGTACACCGCTCTATCTTTGCGTCAGGATAATATACGCAATTATTAGGGATACGCTGGATCTGTAGGCTCTCATTAGAGATTATAGATGTTTAATAATAATGACTGAAGAGATTAAAAATAGTCTTTACACGTGCATGGAACACAATATGACAGGTGTAAAGAACACAATATGACACGCGTAAAGAACACAAAATGACACGTGTAAAGAACACAATATGACCCATGTAAAGAACACAATATGACACGTGTAAAGAACACAATATGACACATGTAAAGAACAAAATATGACACGAGTAAAGAACACAATATGACACGTGTAAAGATCACAATATAACAAGTGTAAAGAACACAATATGACACGTGTAAAGATCACAATATAACAAGTGTAAAGAACACAATATGATATGACACGTGTAAAGAACACAATATGACACGTGTAAAGAACACAATATGACACGTGTAAAGAACACAATATGACATGTGTAAAGAACACAGTAAAGAACACAATATGACACGTTTAAAGAACACAATATGACACGTGTAAAGAACACAATATATGACACGTGTAAAGAACACAATATGACACGTGTAAAGAACACAATATGACACGTGTAAAGAACACAATATGACACGTGTAAAGAACACAATATAACAAGTGTAAAGAACAAAATATGACACGTGTAAATAACACAATATGACACGTGTAAAGAACACAATATGACACGTGTTAATAACACAATATAACAAGTGTAAAGAACACAATATGACACTTGCAATGAAGACATTTTGACACGTGTAATGGAACATAAAATATCGTGAATGTGGAGAATGGAACACATCAAGGCACCCATGGAATATAATAATACATGTGTATTTGTATGAAACATGGACCATAGGACGTAAGTCGTATTCGTATATGGAACACAACATGACAAGAATATGAAATATAATATAGAACGTTTATGGAACACAACAGGACATGTTTATGGAACACAAATTAACACGTGTATGTAACACAACAGGACACGTGTATGAAACACAATATGACACGAGTATGGAACTCTAGATGGCTTGTATTTGGAACACGCAAAGCAAATATTTTGAATTAGTTTATTGTTAAAAGATATTTTCCTACTGGTTATGAAGGATTATTAAAATGAAAATATTTTTGTCAAATTCGACGTATTTTTATCCTTATCAAACCAAGTATAGAAATATAAGAATAAGTGAAGGATATAATGAATGAATGTAAGAAAATAGAATAAAATGAAAATAACAAAGACAGCAAAGAACAAATGAAATGATAAATTATGTATGATGGATTTGTTCTTTTTTTAATAAACGTTTTACAGTATTATATTCATGGTTTTCCATTTTACTGAATGTTTAGACATGACGGGGTCACTATGGACTTTTCCATGAATAACAACATATTCTTCCATTTTAATTCTAGTTAGAGACAAGAAAAAGTAGTTATAAATGTATTCATTTTTTTAATAGCAATATCAAATCAAATCTACTATGAGATTTTATAGCATGTCAGACTCCCCAAAATAAATAAAGTTTACTACAGTCAGATGTATGAAAATGTGGAATAAAGAAGACGACATTTAGGAGATCTTTTCTGCATTTGATATTAGCTTAAAAGCAAATATATTTAACACTATGCGTAGTCGTTTTTATATTCCAGTTTTATGAGTCTCACTGTTATAAATGTGTAAACTTAGGTTTGGGTAAGTTTAGTTTATTCAATGGGTACACTACACTGCACATGGCTGAAGGATTTTAGTTTTACTAGGCTTTTAGGGCGATTCACGCCCATCTTCTTTTTAAATTGTGAACATGTTCTTTTTGTTTACATTTTAAAACTAAGAAGAAAAAAATGTTGCGGATTTAAAAAAAATACGCGGATTTTCAAGAATTTAAATTTTTTTACAAAATTAAAAACCTTTAAAACACATTTTTTAAATTTTTATCATTCGTAAACCTTCTCTGTGGACATGTGATGTCCCACACAAATTTGGGCCCGATCGGTTCAGCCGTTTTGACGTTTATTAGATACAAACAAACAAACAGACAGACAGACAGACAAGCCAAATTTATATATAGATGCTGGTTTTTCATTTTTGGGGGCAAAATACACAGCTATGACAGGACAACTGAGAGAATGAATAAAGGAATGCTGTTTAAAAAGAAGAATAACATTCGACAATGAACATTGACAGGATGAGAAGATAAAAATGTGAAGAAACAATCTCAAGAACTGACGAGGGTCAACCCAGACCGAAATATATTTTCAATAAATGTGGAACTAACATCTACTTTTTTACTCTACAGAGGTTTGGTCCATCACCATCACTGAATTTTAAATAATAATTCTTTGAGTGTTGAAGGGAGGGAAGGATGAATTACTGGATTTTGTTTGGTTAAAGGATGAATTGCTGGACTTTGAAAGGATGAAAGGACAAAATAATGAAAGGATAAAAGGATAGAATAACGTGTTACTGGATTATGTATAATGATGCAAAAAAAGAGATAAAAGGATGAATAGGTGAAAGAATGTGAGGATGAATGGATAAAAAAAAGACGAATTACTGGTCTATGAGTGGTGTAAGAATGTAAGGATGAATGGATAAAAAAGACGAATTACTGGACTATATGAGTGATGAAGAATGTAAGGATGAATAGATATAAAAGACGAATTACAATACTATGAGTGATGAAAGGATGAATGGATGTATAATTGAATATTCTGTTCCCGTATATGAAGAGATTACCTTAAATCTTTCCTAAACGTTACATTATTAAAAAGGAATTGTCTCCAATGTTAAATGCTTAAGTAGGATTTTTAAAAACTTTTGTAAAATAAATATCTATAGAAATTTTATTCCTTTCAATTTAACTATAAACCTTTGACAGAGATAAGAAACCCACCATTGGTTAATTAGTTTAAGAATATTTAAGTAAAAACCATATATAAGTAACGTATAACCTCAACTTTAGAAACCCCAATTTCTAATCTGTTGAATATTTTTGTATGGTATTGCTGTAAAGTAAGTCTGTTAAATATGTTTTATAGGTTATCATTAAATCTAAATAATAAGAGAAAAGATTGTGTAAAACAGGACCCACACAACTGAAGGGGACATTAGTTCCAAAACAAGTGTTAGAAATGGGCCAATTGTTAGTTTTGGAACTAATATCCCCTGAACTGTGGAATATGGAGACGACATTTACGTAATGTTCTTTGTATTCGATGTTGTACGTTATGAAGAAAAAAGTTTTACCAGAAGCATTAAAATCACCTTGTTGACTGTAATGTATACACAACACAATAGATAAGTTTCATGTTTAATGGACTTTTCTTAACTTGAAGGGACTAGAAGCGTAATTTCAGGTGACCTTTCAAAGCTTAAATGACAAAGCCTAATTTACAATGGTTCTCTTAAAAAAATGTCTAATCAAGTATGATTGTATATCTAAGTATTTATAATCTTAAAAACTGTTTATTTTCAAATGTGGGTTCTCTGCAATTAAGGGCGGTTTTAATTGCACCCGGCGATAGACGGGTTTCCCGACGCTCTAGCACCCTCGTCCGTGAAGCAGTCCGACTGAAAAAACTTGTGCATTTCTACTGAAAGAAAACGTTTTGGAATTATCAGAAATAACACTACCAAAAACCTTGAAAAACGACAATATCTTTCACATTATTGAAAATAGCTAAAAGGGAACCGTTGTGAATTAGGCATTGCCATTTTTTACATGGAGGGGCAACGCACAGGCAGCCGTAGTACATTTGAATTTCCGAGCCGGGTCAACCTTTCCTGTCCCAGTTTGTACTGTGTCGCCCGGACATTGGGTAAATAAAGCAGACACTCAATCGGACTAGCGGGTGCAGCAAGGTTGACGCGGTCAGACTTTAGGTTGAATTTACTTTTACTAAAGAGTCAGAGGTGCGTGCACGGCTTACACTCTCCCTTTGATTCTAATAGTAGTTTTCCTATTCCATAGTTTCATGAGTCCCACTGTATCAAAAAACTGAAGAAATTCTTTTAATATTATGTATATAGAATGTCATGAGGTTATAGTTTTGCCGACGAACCAATAATTACTTGTCAATCTTGTCGTTTCTAAAATAACAATCTTTTTAGTTTTCTGCAAAATTAACCGTTAAGGGATAAATAACGCATCCTATTTAATTCAAAGAAAAAAATACTTGTTAAACCTTTTACTAAAAATTTCGTTGAAATATTTATTTTACATTTGGTAAAAAGAACCCCTTTTTATTCTTGTAAATTTATATAAAAGATGAAGGATGGATGAATAAGGATAAGAAGTGCTCAGAACCCTTTTCTGAAAACAGCAAATCAACCAACTATATATATATATATATATATTGTTGTTGAACATTATCTAGTTGAGACAGATATATATACGTTGCTTGTTTTGGTGTTTGTCTGGATGTTTGTATCCAATAAACGTTCAAACGGCTGAACCGATATAGTCCAAAGTTTTTGTGGGACCTCACATAGCCCCAGAAAAGGTTCATGAATGATCAAAAATTCCAAAAATTTGCCTCCAACAAAATTTGATTTTTATTAAATTTTGAAATCCACGACATTTTTTATGAAATCCGCGAACTTGTTTTTTATTTTGTTTTACAAAGAGAGTAAGAATAAAAGGATTGTTACACAAACAAAAAGTTGATGTGCTTCTCACATGAGTACCAATGTATAAACCTTCAATCAAGAATTGGTACTATACAAAAACACGACAATTTTTATAAATACTTCCACTACTTTTAAATAATGGTGGGAAAAAATATCACAATGTCCAGATTAAATTAATGAATAAAATTTCTGCAGTCGTCTCTAAAAGTTTTATCCAATTATGGGCGGACGAATAGAGTAAACATTTTTGTTGATTTTTTCAAAACATTTGAGGTTTTCGGAATTTTAAAGGTTCCACAAATATTTGAGTTTTTTAAACATTTTCTTACCTCATGTCAAATTGTACTGGCCATCAATACTTATGAGTAATACTTGATCAAAACGAATACATCTTAAACAATATTTGTTGGTACAAACAGGGCTTTCAAACTATAATAAAAACGTGCCGTAGAGCACATTTATCAAAATTACCTTAAAAACAGATAAAATCTTGATTGACAAATTCAGCATATTGAAAATATCTTTACATACCTGAAATGAAAATCATCATTAATTTTTTCGTTAAAAAATGTTGGTCTGAGGCTGTTGAAATTTTCTGAATTTTCCTAAATACCCATAGCCCTCCATTTAAGTCCAACACCGGGCCGGCTTTTATACTAACTGCCTGAGTCCTGAGGCACACTGCCTAAATGACTACTTTTTCCTGTATCAAACTAAATCTTTGTTTTGACCCACTTTCAGTTGTCAGATTTTGATAATTTTTAGCTTTTGGAAAAGTTTATGACAAATGGAAACGGATTGCACAAGTTTGGCAACAAACTTTTTGCAAAAATTATTTCCATACAACCCGTCAAAAGAAATTTGCACATTTTTAGTTTTTCTCTATTACACATCTGCAGGTTATTTCAAATTTTGCAAAAATTCTTGTATATTTGAAATGGGCTTTTAAAAAATATATATTTTATCATTTTTTAAACATTTATTTTTCAAACATTTTTACTATATAACTGGGTTTTGCAAAAATGAGCAAATTTTTTTTTGCAGATTCTAAAAGTAGAGCAATGATGTATCATTTGTCATATTTGGACATAAAACATGGGATTTAGAGGGGCGGGGATCAAATTGACCCCCCCCCCCCCAACAGCGTATTTTGGTTTTCAAGTACCCGAGAAGGGATAGGGTTAAATTATGAGAATTTCTCTATTGCTTCTGAAGCAAAATTTCGCAGAGAAACTGCAAATGTAAAATAACAGTTTTCATACTTGATCAGACAAAGCTTTCAAAGACACAGCTAAGCATTGAACATGCCATCAATGCCATCCAGCAACAGGGGTTCACTTCCAATTATGTTTGCAAATAGTCGTTTATTAAAAAGATTGCTTTTTCTTTGTTTTATTGAAAACAGTATTTCTGTGTTTAATGTCAAAAACGTATATCTGAAAACTGTTGTATAATTCCAGATGAAGTTAGCAGGGATTCTATTATTCATCTCGTTCTGCCTGCTAGAAGAATATTCAGCAAGCAAGGAGGTTAGATACAACCAATATATGTAGAAATAAGCCAGGAGGTTAGATACAACCAATATATGTAGAACTAAGCCAGGAGGTTAGATACAACCATAGAGAATAGAATACATAGAGAGGAATTAAAAGAATCTCTCGGTATGAATTTTGTCAGTCCCTTTCAGCCTGAAAGGGAGTTCAAAGTGTACAAATCATGTAAATGTTCACAAATTATATGCAGTAGAGTACATTAATACAGCATGTTCCCTAGACTATTCATTTCAATTTCGAAATCTTTAAAGCTGTTAAATAAACTTTATAATGACTTAGGTGAATAAAAACATCATTTGATTTAGTTTTAACGGAAAATCATCGTTTGTAAAGTGGAAGGCATAGAGTTTATGTGAAATGATCATTGGTCAATTATGAATCCTATTTCATAATTTGGTTTTCTTTTAACAATAATTATAGATTTTCTATAAAATGATATTCCAGGGCCCAACAGGTTATATAGCATAAATATGCGAAGTACACCTGCAGTATGGAAACAGTACAACAAAATGGCCGTTTTACACTTTTTTCCAGTAAATTCCTCTCTATATATTCTATTCTCTATGGATACAACCAATATATGTAGAACTAAGCCAGCAGGTTAGATACAACCAATATATGTAGAACTAAGCCAGAAGGTTAGATACAACCAATATATGTAGAACTAAGCCAGGAGGTTAGATACAACCAATATATGTAGAACTAAGCCAGAAGGTTAGATACAACCAATATATGTAGAACTAAGCCAGGAGGTTAGATACAACCAATATATGTAGAACTAAGCCAGGAGGTTAGATACAACCAATATATGTAGAACTAAGCCACGATTCCAAAAATTGTTGATTTTTCTACGATTTAAGTTGATATAAAAGTTGTAATACATTTTATGAAATTTTTTCGAGTTTAAAGTTTTGAAGTAAAGAGTTTTATTAATCATTTTATTGAAAGGAGTATGGAGGGTTCTACCCTAGCTATATTGGAGAAAGGTAAAATATTTTAATCTTATTTAGAGATTTTGATTTTTATTTCAAAGTTTACATCAAGGAGTATTTCAATGTTACAGTAAGAACTATAACACTGTGGAATAGGATGACAATAGTATGTAGAATTTGGCTTTAAGTTGCTTAAACAGTGACTTGGGTCTATTTGAGACTATGTCACAGCACACAAATGTTGGTTTTTTGATTGCATGATGATTCTTTAATGGCCACTTGAAAATTAATAATAATTCATTAACATTAAATAGACTATAATACTAAAAATCATTAGACATAAAGCTAGTTAAAATAAATACATGAATTTCATATTTTTATGATTTACATCAAATTTACATTTTGTTATGATAGGATAAAAATAATAACAAAAATTTGCTCTGTACCACGCACATTGTTAAAACAAACGATGTTAAAAATAAAACAATATCTTCCGAAAAGTAAAATCAGTTATTAAGGAAAAAAGAAACTCAGATTCCTTACATTTTTATTCTAAATTTAGGATCACATAGACTATCTTTTAATTTGATAAAATATACTTTATGATTTACTTTCCAATTTTAACCTCCACTCGGCTTTTTATATTGCAGATAGTGTTCAGAGATGTATCAAATTGATAATTAGCAAAGAAAAACTGAAAGTTTTTGTTTCCAAAACTTTATTAATTTATATCAGGTCAAACTACCGATGGTTTTTTTTTCAAACTGAAGACGTGTTTTCAGGACACATTCCATTTATAAATTTGCATGTATTATTCACAATAGAACTCTTAAAAGCTTTGGGTAGTCAAGTATGAATTAGATATCCAGGTTTTTAGTTTTGAAAACTGTTTGTTTTTATTTGTGGGTTCTCATGCTAAAATGTCATTTCAATTTTTCAGAATTAAAAACTTTTAAATTTCAAATAAAATGACTTTATGTTTCACATCATTGATCAGACTAAGGTTTCAAAGGTTCTATTGTGAATTGGGCTCTTTAGATAGTGGGTCTCTTAAAGGGACAGACCGGCTATGTAAGGTAGTTGAACTGAGTATGCAGTGTCGTGGACATATTTTTTAGGAATCATTTGAAACATTTTGAAAGATTTGTAAATCCTGAGTAATTATACATCGTGGAAAAGTTTTTTATGTCTCAAATGAATCCTAAAAAATTTGTCCACAACACTGCATACTCAGTTTAACTACCTTACATAGCCGGTCTGTCCCTTTAAAATAAAAAATAAAAACCATTTAAAAGTAAAAACATTGAAATGTTTCTCAACGATGCCCATCTCTAGGTCTAACTTGGCAGCACTGATAAAACGTTCCATTGGATTTGATCGGGAATCTCCTGAGGGACAGCTCAGGGAGAAATCCCAGCTCCTACTGTCAGTTCAGGTAGGGATTAAGCCAAGGATATTAAATTAAGGATAGTAAAATAGGATTTCCCAGCTCCTACTCTCAGTTCAGGTAGGAACTAAGCCAAGGATATTAAAGTAAGGACAGTAAAATAGGATTTCCCAGCTCCTACTCTCAGTTCAGGTTAAGATTAAACCAAGGATAGGAAAGTTAGGATGGTAAAATGGATATACCAGCTCCTACTGATATTTTAGGTTGAGATCAAACCAAGGATATTAAAAGTAAAGATAATAAAATCAGATTTCTCAGCTCCTACTTTCAGTTCAGGTAGGGATTAGGCCACGGTTATTAAAATAAGGATGGTAAAATATGATTTCCAGGGCCTACTCACAGTTCAGATTGAGATTAAACCAAGAATATTAAAGTAAGGATGGTAAAATAGGATTTTTAGAAAACCAAGGATAGCGAAGTAAGGATTGCTAAATAGGAAATCCTACTTTATTCAAGTTGGGAATGAATTATGGATAGTAAATTCAGGATGGTTAGAAAGAAAATTTACTCAAACTAAAATTAAAGACAAATTATTAAAGGGATAAATAGGACCAAGATTTTGTGATGTCCTGTAAAGGTAAACTACGGATAAAATCAAAATCAATACTTTTTCAAAATTACTTTTTTTTAGCTTGGTGGACAATTCCTTTATCATAAATTTGTCTCCAGGGTGTAATTTAATTTTGGAATATTATGACTTTGACAAAACTAGTTTAGGAAGGATGATTAGCTTTCATGAAAAAATGTTTAAATTTTACATTTTTTCTTCTTGAAATATTGACTGTCAACGCTATCTAATTAGATTACATTGATTAATTCTTAATATCTTTAAGAATTTAAAATGTTGAAATTAAAAAAAAGAAAGAATTTTTTTTACATTATAGCTCTGGAAAATGTTCATAGATTTTAATTTTCTGAGAGTAACTGGCATTAGCTTGTAATTGAACAAAGGTGGTTTTAACTGATATTTTGTTGTGTTCTTCGTGCGTTATTGCAACTCAAATTATTTCCGAAAAGTTAGCGTTTTTAAAAATCATAAATGAAAGTTTCATTTACCAAGGATCTATTTATCAAATTACTTCAACAAATTAACATAATTAAATAATTCTACTTTAGAAATGGGGGAGGGGGGTTTGTTTTAATAGGTGAAGCATTCTCAAACGAACGCGTGTATATGGAAAATAGAAATGAATTAGTTGAAATTATTCAGGCTCCGATGGATGTACTTAGAACAGCACATCTGAAGTCTATGCTACGAAGACAGGTATGATGGGAAATAGCTTGTTATGCTCTTCTATCCCTTGTAAGGTATCCAACTTATAAAAGGCACTACGACAATCTGTCAAGATTACGATATTTCAAAAATGTACACTATAAAACTTTTCTTTTATGAAAGTAGGCACAATTTTTACCCTAAACAATGCAGTAAAAAACTAACCAAATATAATCTCAAAATTTTTTAAATACTAACCAAGTATCTATATATAAAATTGTAATCTCTGTAAATATGTTTGTTTGTCCGATCATAACTCATAACTGATTTGTCTCAAATTGGGGAACTCGGGAGAGCCACGGGTTCTTAGCTTAATTTTGAGATAAGTTGAGTGGATTGACTTCAATAGCGAAAATTTAGTTTCCCTGTATAAATTGTTCAAGTGCGGGTAAACTTCGAGAGTAACTGCAGTTTGTAACCTGGTCAGGGCTGGATTCTAAAGCTAGTTAAATATAAAAGTTGGAATTTTTTTTAATATTTATTTTTTTACATAAAACTTTCATTTTAAGTTTTGCAGGAGGTTTAATTGAAAATAAAGTTTAAACTGATTTAAGATAGATATTCGGAATATTTCTTTTTACAAATTCTTTGAGAAATATGCTGGTTGACCAATTAAATTATTTTATACCAATGAATGAGGATCGTGTTTTATTTTTTAAGCAACAAATAGAACTTTTTTGTTTCCTTTTTATTGGTTTTATCTTTGTAACGCAGTTGTTTTTACTTTAAAAGTAGAATTTGCTTTTAAAATCTTATTTTTATTTTCCTCCAAATTATTTTCCGTAAAAGGTTAGTTTGGTCTCCGATACTATTTTGATTAATTATTTTCCTTGTAAAACAAGAATTTAGCTCAAAAGATTAATTGATTAATTTAACTAATTTGATTAATTGATTAATTGATTAATTTGTAGGGTAAGTTGGCCCCAGGACAGAGAGATTACTTAGTCAATATTGGTTAAAGAAAAATATCACATCCGGATATCTGTCTATCTATCTATCTTTTTATTGATTTATCTATTTTTTCTATCTATCTAAAGATCTATTGGATAGATACATAAAGTTAACAACGCATAGGTCTATTTTTGCATCTCTGAATCTAAATCTATCAATAGATAATAGATAGTAAAACAAAATATATAAGATCTTCTATTTAACCATTTTTTTCTGATAAATGTTTGTCTACAACTTTCTTGCAAGCATCATCACAGAACATAAAGTAACCGGAAATTATTTATGAAGGATGAAGTGTGCAGCATTTCTTCTTGAAATATCAACACTTTTTCTTCTACACATTTTCTTTGATAATTTCTTGCAGAACTTTAAAACTGGTGTTAAACATTTCGTACGATATCCCCCCCTCCTCCCCACCTTGCATACAATATGTAAAAAAATGTCACTATTCATGTATATAAAATTATATTAAAGAGGCTGGAAAATTTTATATTTTATGATTAAATTAAGGAAAATATATTTATTCTAATTTATTATTGTTGTTTTATTTCAAGATATGGGTTGAATGTTCAACGTATTTGAAAAAGATTTGATAGGTGAGGTATATAAAAGAAAATAAAAAAATATAAAAAAATATGAAGATTCCGTCAAAATAGAGAGAAGTTGCAAAAAATTATATTTCGGAAAAGTTAAAAAGATGTTTCATAATTTTATTTTTTATAATAATTAATTTTTTTAAAGAAGATGAAATGATATCTTAATTTTTATTTTTTAGATCATTTCTAACTTCTTTGTTGCAGTTTTAGCAAAGGAATTGAGTCTTTGGAACAAAATCAAATATTTAAATCCAAATATCTATAGAACCAGATGTTGTAAATCTTTGATATTTCAAATTCAGATTATTTTATTTAACAGAATTCATAGTTTGAAATATCTAAGGTTTAAAACATTTGGATCCAAAGATATAGTGATTAGAAAATCAGAGTTTGTGGCAAAGACTCTATTCCTTTCTAGCAATATTGGCGCAAGTGAAAGCAACGGAATCTTTGTTGATAAAAAAACCGAAATCATAAGCCCTGGACATGTACGTATTTAAGTCAAAAAGGAGTAATTTGCAAAACCCTGACAGACCCCTCCCCCCATTATGTCAGAGATTTAGGGTTGTATAATCAATTAATTTTTGCTAAAAAGAGGTTGAACATCTCCAAGTATTTATTGTATGCTACATTTTTCATCTAATTAGATAAACATCTGCAAATTCCCACGCATAATATCCTTCACAGTGCTTACTTTAAGTGACTATTTCCGATTAAAATGATGGGTAAGGAACATGGAGGGGGGGGGGGGTATAGTGACCCTTTAAAAAATCATAAAGCTGTTACTAAAAGCAAAAGGAATTGACTCTTTGCAACAAACTCTAATTTTCTAATCCCTATATCTTTGGATTCCAACGTCGTAAACCTTTGAAATTTCAAACTATGACTTTTGTTAGATCAAAAAATATAAGTTTGAAATATCAAAGGTTTACGACATTGGGTTCCAAAGATATTGGGATTAGAAAATCAGAGTTTGTGGCAAAGAGTCAATTCCTTTCTTTTGAAAAATATGTTCCTAATCATCTAATTAGTTCACTGTATAATTTTTACTTTATTTTTGTAAACCGATCCTGAAAACGTACCCACCCAAATTCGTGATCAAACTCAGTAATTATACATCGTGGAAACGTTTTATATGTCTCAAATGAATCCTTAAGAATTTGTCCACAATACTGCATACTCAGTTTAACTACCTTACATAGCCTGTCTTTCCCTTCAAGTAAATGAAGCTCTGATGATATTTTGGAAAATTTTAAATAATTTAATTAATTTTTGTCTAAAATATTTTTTTCCCCGAGTATTTTTTTAAAACATCAAGAATAAAGGATTAAAAATAAAGAAAATGAAAACGGAAAATGAGAATGTTGTATAACAGAGGTAGAGGCTAGATGAGCGGATGTGTAGAGGACTGAAGGAGAAGTATAAAAGATCTGGAATTTCTTATTTTCTTGAGAATCTCATTGGATCTCATAGAATAAAGGGTTAGCTAGTAAACACATATAACGGGGATAGATCCAATGTGCGTAGAATTAAGGTGAGAGGAATTATAAGGTGTTGTTTGTATTTATTCATTTGGCATATTAGGACTGTTCTATAACTGGGTTTAAGAGAATGTTCTATAACAGGGTTTAAGGGACTATTCTATAACGGGGTTTAAAGGACTGTTCTATAACGGGGTTTAGGGGACTGTTCTATAACAGGGTTTAAAGGACTGTTCTATAACTGGGATTAAGAGACTGTTCTATAACAGGGTTTAAGGGACTGTTCTATAACTGGGTTTAAGGGACTGTTCTATAACTGGGTTTAAGAGACTGTTCTATAACGGGGTTTAGGGGACTTTTCTATAACAGGGTTTAAGGGACTGTTCTATAACTGGGTTTAAGGGACTGTTCTATAACGGGGTTTAAGGGACTGTTCTATAACTGGGTTTAAGGGACTGTTCTATAACGGGGTTGAAAGGACTGTTCTATAACGGGGTTTAAAGGACTGTTCTATAACGGAGTTTAAAGGACGGGGTTTAAGGGACTGTTCTATAACGGGGTTTAAAGGACTGTTCTATAACGGAGTTTAAAGGACTGTTCTATGACGGGGTTTAAGGGATTGTTCTATAACAGGGTTTAAGGGACTGTTCTATGACGGGGTTTAAGGGACTGTTCTATAACGGGGGTTAAGGGACTGTTCTATAACAGGGTTTAAGGGACTGTTCTATGACGGGGTTTAAGGGACTGTTCTATAACGGGGGTTAAGGGACTGTTCTATAACGGGGGTTAAGGGATTGTTCTATAAACGGGGTTTAGGGGACTGTAAACGTAATTTGAAGTGAACCTTCATTGATAGCTTGAGTGGCATATGCGACTCACAACATAGCGATGGGCAAAGCTATTTTTGTTTTACAGAAATTTTGATATTTTTTAGACTTTTAAAAGGTTTGACAGAATTCCGTTCCTAGAAAATTCTGATTTTTGTTTGCAATCTTTCATGTTCCAAACAGTCCTAATATGTCTTGATGAAATGGATACACACACCTTATTTCCCCCACCTTTTGAGCTGCACAAATTGCATGTATCCATGATGCAAAAGTATTCTGGATATCAGAAGCAGCTATTATACAAATATAAAAAATACCAATGCAACATGTTCCATAACTTTCTATTGTCAAACAGAAGAAAGATTTTATTATAATTGTAATTTATCATTTTATGGTGCAATATACGAGATTTTTTATACTTTTTAAATTTTAACTTTATGTCAAATAACAAAAAACAGGGCTCTCATACATTTCTAAGATTTTAAAATAAAGTATTCTTAACTTTAATTAATAATAAATCAACATATTTAAAGAATATGAAAATATTTGTCCTGTAGAATGAGGCATAAAATGAATATGGTCCTAATAACCCTGGCTAGCTCTGCCCTATCTTCACCTTATTACGTAAGTTTTAATTAAACAAATTTTTTTAAAGTTGCTAATTTTTACATTTAAATTGTATAATAAGTTATTTTATTGCTTTATTTAATATTTAAGTCATCATCATATCTATAACTTTTACTTAACTGAACCATGATTACTCTCATCAAACTATAATAATGCAATCTTTATAACTCTGCAACCTGGTGGCGAATTTTTTAAAAATTTAATACTTTCAGGTTGCAAAAATACAGAGTTTCAGTTCTTTTATGATTTTAAACTATAATTTTTATTAACTTTTAATTTCTTTACCTAATTTTCTTACTTTATTTATTTTCTAACTCTGATTTTCTATTACCTATATCTTTGCAACCCAATGTCGTACACCTTATGTCTTTTAAACTATGAATTCTGACAGTTCAATTAATATCAAAGGTTTACACCATCAGGTTACAGATTTACTTACGTATTACGTTGAAACTTCTGTTTTCATTTAACGCCCAAAAATCAGGAAACTTGATTGATCATCTAAACTTAATGTTTTGATAACAAAACTAAGATGAAATGAATATCTGCATAAAAAGGGATTATCAACGTAATTTCAAATATTACTCTTTTATCGGAACCATGTCTGATTAACAATGGTACTTTTAATAGCTTTGTCTGATTGAGATTGAGTGAGGAATATTTAAGATTTTCTTTTTAAACATTATTCAATATCATCTGTTGTTCCATGTAATTAAGTAACCTGCGGATTTACACTACAGATATTTGGGAGAAAATTGTCAAAATTAATCACTTTTGACAATACCTTCCATATTATTGGTCAGATAAATTGAGGATCACTTGAAATAACAAGGAAAGTCCCTTTATAATATGATATATACCCTACAGATGAGAGAGAGGGACGATCATGTTGACCCCCAGCTAGGAGATGACTTGGACGAGGAATCCCAATTCATGGGTCATCTTATCCTTTCTCCAGAGCGGGAACTATACCTGAGCCTTCAACCCTACTCAGAAGAAGACCTGGAGAACAACCCTATCCAAACCAAACCTCATCAGTTAGATCATGAGTTTAAATCTTCTCATGATTTGACCGATCTGAAGAATTTGACCTCTAAAAGATCGCCTGCTCCTGATCCCGCAGGTGATCAAGACGGAAATGGATTAACTCTATCTATCACCGCAAATATGGACGCTCTTAGGTAACACAAGAAAAAATATTTAAAAATAAATTTTTTAAACAAAATTCATCTTCTAAATATGTATATGTTTACCAATTACCTGTTTGATAATATCCAATAAACGTCATAGCGGTGAACCCTTTCAACCCAAAATTTGTGAGGATCGTTTTTCTTAGTTGCAAATAAAGGCTATTAGTTCCAAAACAAATTAGCTTCAAAACTTTACATTGGTAAATGCTGGTAAAAAACAGGATGTTGGATGCTGAAATTATAGTTTACACATTGCAGCATTATACCGGCACAAGCTAGTATAAAATAAATGTAAATGTCTTTAATAAGATTTTCTAGAGTTTGAGAAAAAAGGATCGAAAGTATAATTTTGCCGCATGTGTCCAGAGAACACAAATCAAATCTTGTTTTTCATTCAGAAATTTTCCTTTTCTTTGTATTACAATGCTTAGGCAAATATAGAAATATTTAATAAATTTGTCTTCATAAAAACATGTAAATACTTTATTATTCTTCAAATAATATCATTTTTTTATCAGGATTGTGATTTGTTTAAAATTGTTTCTGAAATTTTTGAATTGTTTAAATTATCATTTTTTAATAAAAAGATGGGATTTGAAATTATAACTAACATAAAATTTAATGTTGTGAATGCCTTGACATAATGATGCGATATAACGCTATCCTTAACAATGGAAGAGTTAGTTCGATTAAATCCTTAATTAGTTGATTAATTGATTAACTGACTGACTGATTTGTTGTTTGAGTGATAAATTGACTGATTGCTGGATTTTATTTACTTTTGTTTGATTGATTAGTTGATTAGTTACTTAATTAACTTATTAATTGATTGATTGGTTACTTAATTGATTAATTGATTGATGGGTTACTTAATTGATTGATTGGTTACTTAATTGATTAATTGATTGATGGGTTACTTAATTGATTAATTGATTGATTGGTTACTTAATTGATTAGTTTATTGATTGGTTACTTAATTGATTACTTAATTGATTAATTGATTGATTGGTTACTTAATTAACTTATTAATTGATTGATTGGTTACTTAATTAACTTATTAATTGATTGATTGGTTACTTAATTGATTACTTAATTGATTAATTGATTGATTAGTCACTTAATTAACTTATTAATTGATTGATTGGTTACTTAATTGATCAATTGATTGATTGGTTACTTAATTGATTAATTGATTGATTGGTTACTTAATTGATCAATTGATTGATTGGTTACTTAATTGATCAATTGATTGATTGGGCAAGTGTTTGAATGTTTAAGGTCTAAACTGTTACGAGAGCTATTGAGAAGAGAAAGGGTAAGACGATTAGTTTATACTAGAAGAAGTGCCTCGTGTAATTAAAAATAAGAAATTAAAAGAATTATGATTTTATTGAAAAAATAGTTGTTTTTTAGCCTTTGTTACTCCCAGGGTAGCCATGGGTCCCCTAAAAATATTCCAGCCAATTCGGTCAAACCGTTTGGCCAGCTATAGCTAACATATATATATGCATACATACACAAAAATATATATGAGCGAAGAGCTTTATTATATATATATATATATATATATATATATATATATATATATTCAAGTTTTCGTTTTAATGTTTTTAGCAATAAATTCAGTTCGATCTTAAAATAAGATTTGAAATTGTTTTGGAAGCACACACCTTTCAGAACATCCTGTCTTTTGGTTTAAATAAATAATATTAACTATAAATCTCTTCACTCATATTGATATATATTTCTATTTTTATATGATAGCTATAGCTGGTCAAACGGCTGAACCAAATTAGATGACATTTTTTGAGGGAATCCATGGGTACCTTGGGGGTAACATGGGCTAGGAAATTATAATTTTTAAATCAATTTTTTTTCAAAAATAATTTTTTTTAAGTTCGTTTTTTATTTAATTTAATTTTTAATTTAACTTACTAAGTGAAATGCGCATATTTTCACTGCACAATTGCTGTGTCTCATGTTCATTGGACTATTTAAAGTCATAATTTGAGTCTAAAAGTCGTCTTCCTTCTCAAGAATTTCCGGGTTATCACTGTAATTAAACCAATTAATAAATGCGGAAAGTTAAGAACATGTATTTTATAGTTTTTTTTTATGATTTATTATAAATTAGTAACAGTTTCTCAAAATTGAGTTTAAAAAAAGTCTAATTTCTAATGAAAATTACGGTCCGCTAGTTTTAAAATATTTAAATATTAAAAATATCGGTTTAGGATGGAAATGGAGGTATTGGAGAGAACCATCTCCGAAGAGTCGGATAGATATTCCTCCATTCCTTGTACTTTATAATGACAGGTAGTCACATTCCTCCATTCCTTGTACTTTATAATGACAGGTAGTCACATTTCTTTAAGCATTAAAGGGACTGTAAACGTTATTTTAAGAGACTCTTCATTTTTAGAATGACATGTCCGATTTACGTCGGTACCTGCTTTTCAGACACAATGAAGGAGGTTGTTAGAATTAAACACATTTCAAGCTTGAAAAAGGGCAATATCTTCTACATTATATCAATCTGATAAAGGTTTAAAAATTGCTCTTCATTAATTGGACAATGCCATTTTTTCAATGTGAGGTTTCTTGAAATTAAATATTAATCTTTTCTGAGCCATCATTGATTGATTGATTATTGATTATTGGATTTTCAAAGGAACTGAGTTTTTGCCACAAACCTTAATTTTCTCCTCCCTATATCTTTGCAACCCATATGTCGCAGATCTTAGATAGTTCAATCTATGAATTTTTTAAGATCAAATAATCTAATTTTGAAATATCAAAGGCTCGACACATCATGAGGTTCCAAAGATTTGAATTTGAAGTTTGAATTTAAGTTTGTGGCAAAACTCAATTCTTGTATGTTCTTATTTCCGAAACTCTTCGTTATTGATCAAAAGATATGTTTTAAGATATTTTCTTATAAGCTAGATTTATTGATAGATGTAAATTTAGAAGTCTTTTCTCAATTTTTTTATGGGATCCAATTCTATGATTGGAAACTAAAAAAGTTATGCAGGTATAAAAGGTATAAAAAATTACCATAAAATGCTGGACTCTAAAATAGATTTTTACTAAAATGACAAAAGCATGCCAATTCTTGTTCAGCTTTTCTAATGGGTTTCAGCATTCTAAACCGGTCCTTTTAATACCAGAGACATATTTTTTAAATTTAACCTTTATATTTTTAACTTTTGAGGATCAACTTTTTTTAACTTGTTAATAGTTGTTTCTTCAAATATGATTTAAATTCCTTAAGGATTTTTCCAATCTTTGACGTACAAATTGAAATTAGGATCTTTTCAGAAAATTTACTTAATTAGATAAGGTTGTATAAAAACTATAATGAATAATTATTTCAAATTTTAAAAGAAATTGTATTTTTCAAAATAATCAATTTGTTTAGAGATTAAAGTATTACCTTTCTGAACTTTATTAATCTATTATATGAAAATACTTAATTATGTACCCCTTTAAAATTTATAAAATTAGATAAGTTGTTCAATATAAGATAAATAAAACAAATATTATATTATACATTTAATTTACATTTAATTTACGAGTGGGAGGGGGGGTGTTTTAAACATTTAATTGTTGCAGCATTATTTGAAGTGACCTTCAATTTAAAGAGTTAAATGCCAGATTAAAGTGTTTGAGCTAAACTACAGAACTTATATTTGTATTTCTTTCATTTTTTTTTTAAAAAAGTATCCGTGTGAATCTGACATTCAACTCTCCAGAAGAGGGGTCACTTGTAAATGCGTCACAGTTCCTTTCAGGTTGACAAGACGAGTCCAGGTTTCCAGATTGTAGAGGCTGATTCTATCCTCCCCTCTCCTCATTCATACATTCACAATACACAACCATTTAAAGATTATTGTAGACATTTTAGAATTCATAAAATAAATATTCCAATTATAATATTTTTGTTTTTTTACAATAAATTAAATATTAAAGGAAATGTTCGCAAAAATATTCGATGCATTGATTGCTACTAATCTTACTTCTATCTGTTGCTTCTATGTAAGGAGAAAATTGTTAAACACGACTTATACCAAAGAGCGTTGCAGTAAGTTACAATGTTCAACTCAGATTGTAAAATAATCAATTTAATTCCAAACAAATCGTTCAGATATTGCAACAGCTATAATTATCGATTTTTTTCGATGCATTCGGTTAAAATAGATATTTTATAATATTTTTTATTTGTTTCATATACGATATACATTAAACGACGATTTTTTTGTCGCTATAGTTAGTGTCGACTGTCGTTGGAGTCTCTTCTACTTGGAACCCCATGAACCATTGAGAGCAGTGACACTATAGCGGCAAAATACTTGTTCTTTGAAGTATATCGTATATGAATTAAACAAGTAAAAACCATTATGAAATATCAACTATTGCAGCCTAGCTACGGCGCCTCAGAAGCCCTAAGCTAACCTTTAGCAAGTTGCCACTTAAGGTAAATTGTCACTTGGGGAGTCGCCCTTAGGTAAGGGCCTTTTGGAAAATACGTAAAACCATGTCAAAGTGTCCCTTCATATAATAGAGTGCAATCTACCACGGTAAGTTAGATTCACACTATAAGTGCCCTGCCCTTAAAAACTTTGTAAACAAGAACTAATTAGATATTAATGTTCTTGTTCTAAAAACATTTTTTTTTCATTATTAGATTTTCTGCAAAAGTGATTAAAGCACTGTGGAGAAATCATCAGAAAAATAGAAATACGACAGGATCTTTCATGTGTTGATCAGATCAAGGTTCTAAGGGGGACATTGATAATCGGGCATGCCCTTTTTTTAAATGGACGGTCATTTGAATTTACGACGACAGCCCCTTTAAAGGGACAGACCGGCTTTGTAAGGTAGCTAAACTGATTATGCAGTGTTGTGGACAAATTCTTTAGGATTCATTTAAGATATAAAACGTTTCCACGATGTAAAATTTCTGATTTTGAGTGCATAGGCTACGTTAAAACTCATAAAATTTGTGGGGGTACGTTTTCAGAATCGGTTTTTTTAAATTATTAAATAACGACGACGAAAAATAAAGTAGAAATTATACAGAAAAGAAATGTGTCAATAAATCAATGCTGGAATCAATTATTTCGTGTTTATCATTATATTAAATTTCCTTTTTTTTATATATTTTTTCCGCAGATTTCTTCAAATTCTTCAAATGTCTTCTTTTCAATGCAAATTTTAGAAAATCTGCAGAAAATCTTTGTGAATAATAAGAGATTTTAGAAACTAATAATTTAATAAGACTACTTATTTTCGATGATAAGATTAATTTTTATTTTCGCAACCTGTTCTTAAACAACTAATTTGTTGTCGTCGTTATTTAGTATTTAAAGAAAACAATTCTGAAAACGTATTAACCCAAAAGTACGATTTTGCGTTAAAACTCAGGATTTACAGATCTTTAAAAAGTTTAATATGTCTGAATCCTAAAGAATTTGTCCTCAACACTGCATACTTAGTTCAACTACCGTACATAGCCGGTCTGTCCCTTTAAATATCTATTT